AACACGTTGGAATTCGACGTATAATATGTTAAATTCTGCAATCAAAGTTAAACAAGCATTGTTAAAACTTAAAAGCCGGGATCGTTATTTTCCAGATCCACCATCAGAAGATGAATGGGAACAAGTTAGTATGGTGCAAGATGGACTTAAGGTTTTTTATGAATGTAATTATAATTTTTTATATATATTTTATATTATATTTAAATATTAATTATTACAATATTTATTAAAGGTACTAAGCAAATGTCTGCAAGTTCATATATAACACTTAATTATGCAATTATAATAATTTTTAAAATTAAATTACATTTACAAAAAATGCGATCAAGTTCTAGTACATTTATTTGTGAATTTGCTAATTCTATGCAAAAAAAATTTAATAAATACTGGGAAGATACAAATATTTTATATGCAATTGCATGTATACTTGATCCATCTTACAAATTAGAATGGTTCAGATACTATTATGAACAAAAAGAAAAATTGTCACAGGAAGAAACTGAAAAGATTGTAATTAATTTACAAACAAGGTATATGCATATATAAAATTTTAAATTTATATTAATTATATACACAACTTATTTATTTTTTTTTTATAGATTTGAAGAAACTTATATCAAATTTTATTATAAACATTCATACACTAATACCTCTATTGAAAGGATTACAAGCACCTCACCTGATTTAGATTACCAATCTGATGAAGATTACCGTCAATATGCATCTAAACGATCACGAATGAATACTAATAATCTTTATGAAATTCAACAATACTTAAATGAACCAACAATCTCAAAAAAAATCAAACCTCTTTATTGGTGGAAATCAAATTATAATCGATTTCCAAATCTATCCAAGATGGCCAAAGACTTCTTAGCTATTCCAGCGACAAGTGTACCATCAGAACAAATTTTTAGCTTGGCTGGTAGAATTATTGATGATTGTCGTATTAATTTAGAATCAAATACAGTTGAAGCATTAATATGTCAACGGAATTGGTTATCTAAGTGGAAGATGTAATTGTTTTTTATGCGTAATATAAAATTTAATAAATATGCTTATAAAATGTAAATTTTTTTCTATTAATATGTAAATCACTAATAATATGTAAATTGCTTATAATATGTAAATTGCTTATAATATATAAATTGCTTGTAATACATAAATTGCTTAAAGACAAATTAGTTCCAAACTTTTGTTTATGTTATTGGATCCATGGGTTGACCATGGATTGTACTATGTGGTAATGGGCCGGGCTTGGATCTATCCAATTAAATATGGGCCGGATTTGGATCTAAATAATTGGTACATATTTTTAATGGGCTGGATCTGAACTTTGAAATATCCGGCCCAGCCCGGCCCAGCCCGGCCCATGCGGAACCCTAATAATTACTTTATAGAAATATGCCAATTTATGACTTTAATACTACTTGCAATTAACTGTAAAGAAACTATATAATAACTATGATTTTCCATTTAATATAATAAGGATTACATATATTTTACTACTATGTTACTATATATTAGCAATATTTTTACAATTTTATAAAAATAAAGTTGCGATTTTTAAAATTTTTTATAAAATTGTAGCAAAAGTATTGCCAATATATAGTAACGTAGTAGTAAAATAGTAGTAGACGTATTGCTAATTTATGTTAAATGTAAAACTATAGTTACTATATAGTTACTTTATAGTTAATTGCTAGTATTAAAGTTGCAAATTTGCATGTTTTTGTAAAATAAGTAATCTTAATATATATCTTAAATAAATTTTATCTAATAAATTATAACTAATTAAATTATTAGGACGTAAGTATGAAATTATTCAATAATTTTGAGATAACAAATTTGGGATTATATCTACAATAAGCGACGCTTCTGGTAAAGTTTTCGTGATCACTTATCTATGTCATGTAGTTATGTGATTTGGCTAAATTGCATATAAAAATTTGGCCGAATAGTATGATCATATGACATCGATCATTGATCGCGAAAACTTTATCGGAGGTGCACCTATAATAGATTTAATCCAAAATTTGAAATAATACATAATTAAGTAAATTTTATCTAATGAATCGACTAATAAAATTATTTTACAATGTTTAAATAACAAATTTGAAATAATATATGCTTAAATAAATTTTATTTAATCAATCATAATTAATTAAATGATTAGCCCGTAAGTATAAAATTATTCTCAATTTGAAATAACAAATTTGAAATAACAAATTTTAAATCTTATCGAATCAATTACAAATATAATTAATTTATTAGCACGTGAGTATAAAATTATTTTACAGATTTGAAATAATATATAATTAAGTCAATCTTAACATATAAATTGAATAAATTTTATCTAATCAATTATAAATAACTAAATTATTAGGCGGTAAGTATAAAATTATTCTACAATTTTGAAATAACAAATTTGAAATAATATATTAAATTTATTTATATTTAAATATAGTTCGCTAGAATCGTAATATAAAACTGATATTTCAATTTATAAAATTGAAATATTATAAACATATTGTAAGTATATTTTTATAGTAAAAAGCTTGGTTTATACAAAAATATTTAATTTGTTAATTCTATATATACTGAAAGTTGCTATTAGCAATAGTAAGAATTGTTTATATTTTCAATTATATATCATTTTTAAATTATATATTTCCAATCAATATAAGTTATCTAAATTTTTATAGTTGATAAATTTAATACTTTATGTTATTATTTATGCTTTTATGTAACAATTCTTTATAATAAATTTCTATATTTTTATATAAACAAAGTTTTATACCGTAATTTATTTTTAAATGTCTTAATAGTACTCAGTAAATTAATGTTATAAGGTAAAATTTTAATTAGGAGGTTTAATATAAAGTTTATATTCAGAATTAAAAAAAAAATAGAATATTTTGTAAATAAGCAGGAGTTTACAATAAAAAAATCTTATTTGTGTATCAATATTCTGAAATCAAAAAATGAAATAGTAGTGTTCAGAGACTCGCATTTAACTAAATAAATAAACTTTTCAACGACAAAATCATCATTACAAATTTGTTGGAAAATGAAATAAAGTCGATACATCGCTCATTTGAAAATAAATACGTTATTTATTTCTGTCAAAATTAGATTACCGCGCGTTGTTATAAGATATTGGTTGTGCAATGATTAATATCATGAAATTGTTTTGTCAGAGAAAATGATTCGATACGTAGCAGCATGTTTCAGTTTCAGCTAGGTATACCTTATTAACTTTACTTAATCATATAACTACCAAATTATTTTTCACAAAGTTACTGCATATCAAGAGAATCGATTCAATAATTTTGCTGACCAATTAGCTCATTGCCACCTTACCTCAAACTTTCTTATTCTTAAACCTTATAATATCTATAATTTTAATTATTCTCTTCAATTATATCAATATCTTCTAGAGTTATCAACTTGACATACTATCTGTACTATATGTTATTTATATATCTATACTCTGTGGTCATCTCAGTACAGATTTCAACAGTAGTCTCGAATTGCTGCTTATATCAACTGGTCTGCTACTTGGCATTATATTAATAATAATCAAAAAAATTTTAAATTTTTCACATAACTTCCAATCTTCTACTCTTAAATCATTCCAAGTTAAAATTCTTCTTGATGAGTTGCCTACTTCTCATATATTGTATA